CTTCTGATTTGAAGTTAATATTTCCTTAAAGTTTAGGTATAATATCATGACTTACATGGTGTTATAGCATTTCACATGGCAATATAATTAAAAAAAAACTGTTTATCTGAAAATTATTGAATTTACGAATTTTTGGACGAGTTTGATTGACAAATATTTATACTTTCACTAAGTAAACTTTATCCTTACAGCGAATTACGAAATACCAGTAAAATTTTCAATTGCTTGCTGGATAGTTCAATAGGGTATTTATTTTGGTCTGACAAGTATCACATTATGTTTGAATCTAGGTCGCAAGGTTACTCAGGTGTATCATTAGATTTTACAGGTAAATGTGAGTTGCTTTCAATGTTGTATGAAGCCACATGTATGTGCCAAAGTGTTCTGCTGTAAATAAATACAATATTTTTTTTTCTTTCATTGCAAATATTTTTTGCAGATTGCAGAACTAATGAATGACAGCCCCCCTCCCCCTTTCCAATCTTTCAAAAGGTATTATTTAAGGTTTCGTCAATGGTCAAATGTCTAAAAAAAATTTTTTTACAATAGCTCCAAAAGTATCTGTGGTATAAAGTCAAAACGTTTACAGTTTATAAATATATCATTGATTAATAGATAGAAAGTATCATTTGATAACAAAAATTTTAAAAAAAGATATTTTTTGAGAAAAATTGTATCATTTAAAGAAAAACGCACCTGTGTAATTTTGTCCTTTTTGTGAAAACCAACATAATTGTAGAAATAATATATGTTTATCATTGAAGGGCAAGTTGGACGTGAATGGTCTCTGAAAGACTGTTATTGAAAGCATGACATGTATAAATACAAAACCCCTATAGAATCTGCCATTTGCAATGTACTTTCACTTTCAAGTCTTAACATTTTGACAAAATAAACAGGGAAAACAACTTTCCAGAGGCTATCCAAGTCCAACTTGCCCTTCATTGATAAACATATTTTTTTCTGCAATGATGGTTTTCACTAAGAGCCCGGAATTAATTAGGTGAACTTTTTTGAAAATATATGCATTTTTAAAAAGAAAATTTCTCAATTAATATTGTTCCAAGTATTTATTTATCAAGTGATACTTTTTATCTGTTAATCAATGAAAAATTTATAAACTGTAAAAGTTTTAACTTTATACCTCGCATAGTTTTGGGGCTATTGTAAAAATAAATTTTTGGACATGTTGACCTTTGACGTAACCCTAACAAAGTCAAGAAGTTAGCTGCCCACTCCAATTTTCTCCCACCTTATGGGTTATAAATAAACAGTCACATAAATAAAATAATATTATAGATAATCATATAAATAGCACATATAACATGCATTTCATTAAATTATGATTAAAATCTCTACACCCATTTCTGTCAGTCTCTGAAAAATCTGAAAGAATTGATTAAGAGGTTGATTTACAGAATAACTTATGACTTAAAGACTGAGTATTTATTTAATTCTTTACATTGATTTAATTCTTATTTTATTCTTTCATATTTTAAAAAATTAGTAAGGTAATAAAATAAAAGCAAAATCTCACAATTTAAGAATAATTCAGTGATAAGAGTTAAAAACTTTGTTTTCATATATAATTTTTTTTTTAAATCTCAATTATGAAATCTAACCAGATTATCACGGAAGATTTTGAAGTACAAAAAATAGTGTACTCAAGTTTTGGAAATTATTACAAATGTATTTGAATGCTGGATTGAGCAATGTTAAGCAATTTAATCTAAAGCATGGGTGCTGGTGCTATTGTTTACAAACAGTGATGAAACTTTTACCCTCTACATTTGTAAAATGAAATTACTTGCAAGTCATGAAAATAGATTACAATGGGTTTTTATGTTGGAAGTGACAAGACTTTGAAGCAATTAGAAAGAATAGTATGCAGAAGATGTATGCATTACTGAAAGAGCTAGAATACAAATTTACTGAAAAAACATTTGCAATTAAAGAAAAGTATTACATTTATCATTTACAGCAGAACACTTTGGCACAAACAAGTGGCTTCATACAACATTGAAAGCAACTCACATTTACCTGTAAAATCTAATGATACACCTGAGTAACCTTGTGTACTAGATTCAAACCTAATGTGATACTTGTTAGACCAAATTAAATACCCTATTGAGCTATCCAGCAAGCTATTGAAAACTTTACTGGTATTTCGTAATTCGCTGTAATACTCTAGAAAAGTAGAGATTTTTGTAAAATAATGAATAATATTAACCTAAAATCCAGAAATGTTAGATATCAAAACCAACTCAGCAATATTGTCAGTCCGTGTGATGTGTGCAGAATTTAACAATTTGAATACATCCATGAAACATAAATCGTTTTTGTAAACAGGACACAAGCTCAGATATATTGTTAATGTTTACGTTTCACAGGGTATGTTCCGTGTGTTTTACTCTGCACACATATCTCTGAGCACGGACTGACAATACTGTAGAGTTGGTTTTGTTTTCTACATTTCTACTCTGAATTATCTGGGGTGCGTTCAACAGCGTATCTCTCCGTCGTCTTGAAAGGAGAGCTAATCTAGCCGCTACGTAGGGAGAGCTAAATGTAGCTAGCATCATAAATATTTAAAACTTACTACCAAATCCAAGTTGCCTTCTTTGTTTAAAGTTTGCAGTACATAAAGTTTTAACCAAAAAAGAGAGTGATTTTTTATATCTTGGTGAATTTTAAAAATATAAATTTACATACATGTATTTGTTTTCGCTGGAAATTAACTTTTTTGTCCCAAAAGTTTTTACTGATATATTTTTATTCAAACTTCAACACCAAGCATCTAGGTTAGCTGTCTGTTCAATAGAGATACATTAGTAAAGGAGAAACTTCAAGAGTACTGTGCAACAATATATTCAAGAAGTGGTGTAAATCGGATGTGGATATATAAAAATTCTAAGGAAGTTTTGGACAATTTGAAATCACTTTTACCAAAATCAACAATTTATAAAAACTTACGACTTTTCCACTTTATACACAACCATTCCCCACGATAAATTAAAGTCCAGACTTTTTGATATCATTGACAGCTGTGTTTGCAATAAAAATGTAACTCGTAAATTTATTTACCTTGCCATTGGTCATTCGCAAAATAATTTTGTTAAAAATCATTCTGATTGTACACACTAGTACTCTGAAGTTGACATAAAAAAGATGCTTGAGTTTCTGAAATCTATGTTGTTTTTGGAGACCAGGTCTTTCAACAATCAAGTGGAATTCCCATGGATACCAACTGCACCCCGTTATTAGTAGATCCATTTTTGGTATTCTTATGAAAACGGAATTTGTGCAAACTCTTATGCGTGAAAAGAAGAAAAAAACTTGCTGTGGCCTTCAATTCCACATTTAGATATATCGACGACGTATTGTCCATCAACTATGGTGATTTCCATTTTTATGTCGATACGATATATCCTGGTGAGCTTGAGATAAAAGATACCACAGAGTCTGACACATCTATTTCATACTTTGATATTTTACTAGAAAAAGACGTCAGTGGTAATCTAACAACCAGGTTTATGATAAACGTGATGATTTATCTATCGTCAACTTCCCTTGCTTATGCAGCAAGATACCTTCGTCACCTGCGTACGGAGTACATGTATATACTAGTATATACATATCTCAGCTGATTCGATGGGCAAGAACGTGCTCTACGCATGAACAACTTCTAAAACGAGGTAAAGTATTGACAAACAAATTGATGAAACAAGAATATCAACAGCTTCGTTTAAAGTCTTCATTTCGCGAGTTCTACGGTCAATACAATGACCTCGTCAGCAATTACAATTTATCATCGAGTCAAATGCTGACGTTTTTAATACTTATTGTTAATCCATTATACATGTATATACACGGAATTGACGACGGATTTTTCCATTATTTCCCGATCATGACAAGGAGCACATGGCTGGTGTGACCTGTCGGCAGGGGATGCTCACTCCTCCATGGCACCTGCTTCCACCTCGGATGTATTGGGTGTAGGTACATTCAGTGTCTGTTGACTGAAGATTGTTACAGTACGTTGCTTCCCTTCTCTCAGCTAAGAACTGGCCTTTTATGCCTAGTCTCTCGATGATTTAAGCGTAAAATATTTAAATACTCCATTGAAAATAAGTTGAAATTAAAGAAAGGATTCTTCTTCTGTTATTTTATTTATGCCTCCTGTATTTCTCCTTTTTCTAATGCAATGTATAGTTACTAAATATTTAATGGGTTTTTTTTTTCTTAATCTCCCTAATTCATTAAGGTTGATAAGACTCTTTTTGGTAAAGAGGAATTTTTTTCATTGAGAGTTTATCTTTTCAGGGTAATGGAACCCTAATAAGTGGCCATGGTTTGTAAAAAAGATATGGTTAAGTGAACACTTGCTTTTTTCCCTGTATCATTGCAATTGTTGCGTCAAACCCTTATAAATATCTAGGTCAGTAGGGGTCAACTATGCTCAGTAGGGCTAAGTTGGTCATACAATTGAAAATTGACACACCTGCAATTTTTAAATCTTGCACATATATTAATATTCAATAAATAACATGTATGTGTAAGGCAGATTATTGCAGTTGATCAGTTTGGAATTGCATTTCCTAATTACAATCAGACAACCTTTATCATGAGGTTGATTTAATCTTTTTCAAATATAAGTGCATATATATTTTAGATATATAATTAGCACTTGAAAGGTATACAGCGATACGTTTTCAAAACAAGGGACAAAAAATTGGGTTGAGTAAGATGATGCTTTGCATTTGATGTCCTAGGCACTATACGAAAACACGGATGTTAAAACGTGTAATCCGGACGACGAACGGAGTCGCCATGCAACCCTAAATGTTATATTTCTTCGAATCAGGAGTATTTGAGAAAACAATTATAAACTCTAGAGGGGTGAATTTGGTTTTTTTTGTGGAATAAATATTCTTTTTTCAAGGGGTAGCATGCCTCCCCGGTACATTTTCCATAGAGAGCTACAGTTCAGCAGCTAGTTGTTAGCGTAGTACAATTATAGTGGATTGTCTAAGATGTTTTCCGTTTGCTCCATCGTTGCTCGACACAGCGGGTGAAACTGGTCGACGGGAGATGGTCTCTTGCTCGACACAGCGGGTGAAACTGGTCGACGGGAGATGGTCTCTTGCTCGACACAGCGGGTGAGACTGGTCGACGGGAGATGGTCTCTTGCTCGACACAGCGGGTGAAACTGGTCGACGGGAGATGGTCTCTTGCTCGACACAGCGGGTGATACTGGTCGACGGGAGATGGTCTCTTGCTCGACACAGCGGGTGAAACTGGTCGACGGGAGATGGTCTCTTGCTCGACACAGCGGGTGATACTGGTCGACGGGAGATGGTCTCTTGCTCGACACAGCGGGTGAAACTGGTCGACGGGAGATGGTCTCTTGCTCGACACAGCGGGTGATACTGGTCGACGGGAGATGGTCTCTTGCTCGACACAGCGGGTGATACTGGTCGACGGGAGATGGTCTCTTGCTCGACACAGCGGGTGATACTGGTCGCTGGGAGATGGTCTCTTGCTCGACACAGCGGGTGATACTGGTCGACGGGAGATGGTCTCTTGCTCGACACAGCGGGTGATACTGGTCGACGGGAGATGGTCTCTTTCTTTGAACCTGATCCCATTTGATGTTTTAGAGGTCTATGTTTGCTTTGCCTACAATTTCTAATACTGTGATAGGATTTGTAAATTGATTACTTTTTCCTTATTATTTCAATACACAAGATTAAAATTGAGCATTTTAAGACATATTATGATTTCCAAATTCAAGTTTTCAATGGTCAACTTCCCTTTCTTATTAAGCAATATAACCTGATCACCAGCATGCGAGGTTATGTCTCAGTTGATTGGATACGCAAGAGCATGCTCTAGGTACGAACAACCACGGCAAGCTATTGACAAACAAGTTGATGAATAAAGAATATGAATAGTCTCGTTTAAATTCATCACTTCGTAAGTTCTATGTTTTATGCAATAAGAATGCAAGCAAATACATTCTATCATTACTTCATTTGCTGACTGACGTTTTTTATTCTAATTGTTAGAAACTTTTTTACACAATGCAGCGTCTTTGATTTTTACGTTTTTTCCCAATCATGGCAATGAGTACACAGCGGGTGTGGTCGGCAGTCGGATTTCTCATTTTATGGCACCTGATCCCACCTCCTAGAGGTCCTTATTCCCTCTGCTCCTTATTTGTAATGGTGGAATGGACTTTTGAGCTTGAATACGAGTTATTTCCAAATTTCATGCAATAAAACAATACCGGCAATTATAATATAAAACATCTTTACAAATTGTAAGTCACAGATACGATGGTTGATCCAAAAGTCATGTAACAGAGTCCATATCTTTTATATTTAGCGTAATATTATCAAATATAATGTACCAAAGATGCACGTTGTATGTAATTGATATTTTGAAAAGTATTAATCATGTTCATTTAAATTTTTCAGTACAGATTTAAAAAAAATATAGCTTCCATCATGTATAAAACTATTGTTTTACGTCGACTAGTAGTTGTGATATTATTTTTGGATCAAACCTCGTAAAAGTTTATGAAAAAAATTAATTATTCTCTAATCTTGATCAGGAAATTCTCAATTTTATGTTACTTAAAACTTTCTATGATATCTGCAAAGGTTTTGGTAAACTATATTTGATTTGCCCGCTTTCCCTTGTGTGGATAATCATGATATCTTATATGACGAAAAATAAGTATCGTTCGAATTTTAACATTGCATTGAAACATGAAAGACAAATAAACAACTTTTTTCTAGGTAAAATAATACCTGTTAATACCTTCATAATTTCATTCAGATACATGTTATGGAATGTCCAAAATATTGAAGAATAAGATTGTTAAAGCTATTAAATCTATTGAACATCGCACAATGCATTTTGAAGTCTTATTTTGAAACACATCGCATCACATCGGGGTCTCCAGATTTTTAAGGTGTTGCATTCAGAATCGTTCGATAGCTGTTTTCAGAAATTTGACTGTGCCAAACTTTTTACTTTTTTTCGGTCCACTGATAGCAGGCATACTAGTGTTATAAACCTTGCCAGGCTCCAAAATTAGTGTAATCTCTAACTTGTCTATAAGGTTAAGGTATTTGTCTAGTCCTAAAACTTGAAACTTGGTTTGACCTTTAATTAAAATCTATATATTTAAGAGACTAAACATGAAGCTTTTTTTTTTATATCATAATCCATTTCATTGTGTTTTTACAAAGAAACTTAATATCAGTTTACCTGTTGACTTGATACATACCAGAAAACTCGTAAGAAAGATTGGTACACTGTGTATACATAGAGTCTGTAATTATAACTTTACATTATAAGCAATGTGACTTCAGCATTACCATCGTTATAGTTTCTTACTTCGGTCCAGTATTCCACAATCACCTGCTTATGGCGTTTATGACCCATAACTGATTCGATATGCAAGAGCATTTTATGAATGCAACCGTTAAATAGAGACAAGCTACTAAAACAAAATGTTTAGCACAAATTTTATCAATCCAATTTTATTCTGCATTTAGAAAAATTCTCCCGTCGATATAGTGAAACGTCTTTATTGATAAAACCGATCGTTGGGTCGCATTTTGTTTGAAATGTTAGAACCGTCTGATTAATCACAATTTTGTACCTTTATCTAATCAATGCATACATGTATGTCTCTGGCGGGTGTGACCGGTCGACAGGAAGTGCTTACTCTTCATAGACACTCTGTTTCCAGGGAACCGTATTTTTTTCCTTGTTTACGATTCGCTTTGCTCATTGGATTTATACAAAAAAGATCGCTGGTATATCTTAATCTTTGAAAATATGTTTACTATTGAAGCTCAAAAGTCCATTAAACAAAGCAAAGTTTGGAGCAGAGCAAACACGGACCTCTGAAGCATCAGAAGGTGGGATTAGGTGCCAAAGAGAAGTGAGCATCCCCGCCGATCGGTCACAACCGCCGTTTGCTCCTTGTCACGATCAAGAAATAACGGCAAATTCCGTCGACAAAGCAGTGTATAGATAATGGCCTAACAATAAGTATTAACAAGTAACAGCTTTTTAAAAAGCTTGCCTGACTAAATCAATCAATTTATCTGCATGAACAGTGATAAACCTTTCGAGCAATAAAACATACCCTATCTTTATATTTCATTTGAGAACCTTGTGTAATTGGAATCTTGATTTTATTTAACTTGTTGAAGAATCATCTCTACACTGCATACTAAAAAGTTATTCGGGGGGGGGGGGGGGGGGGTGTCTGCTAGTGGAGTGATCTGCCCTTGGATCTAAATTTCAAGCTCCATTGTAACACCTACATATATGTACATTATAAAATCTGTTTCTCAAATCATGCATTGTAAACATTTTAAAAGATGGACATAATTAAATACACATTTTGTTGGAGTGTATTTTCTCCTCTGAAGTAAACAGTAGTAATGTGTGTTCATTATTTTTTTCTTTAAAAAAGGGGGGGGGGTAGTGACACTATCATATATTGAGAATGAAATAAGTAAATTCAATACTTAGACCTTTGTGGAAAGTAAAATCCAAGATTTCTCACTGCTTTCTTATTTACTGTGTGTATCTGAACAGAGACATATGACTTGAACTGCGTTGTTTATTATTATCGGACTAGTCCATTTATGCAGGCGGACCTATATACATGTTAGTATATAGGTCCCTGATTTATGGAATAAACCAACCGTGGGATCGGGAAACAAATTAGAAAAATCATTTCTTTACTGTTGCATGTCCATGTACTGATGTATACGACATGTTTTTTTAAAGAAGGATATAAAACTTGTAGATAGAATTTCTGAGGCATTAGAATGGGGTTTTCATGGAAGTTAGCACACCCATTCATACAATAGAACAATAAAAAAAAAAGGCTCGAATTCGAAGATATAGCTTACTAGTGACATTTGGCGCGAAAAGAGCTATTCACCCCTTTCGTAGAATATAAATGGACTGATCCAGTAGTATAGAAATGCAGAAAACAGGATACACGGATATGTTGAAATGGCGAATCACATGGAATAATCTGTTCCATGTAAAAAGAGTAAATGAGGTAAACACTGCAGTATTTTGCATCAGTAATATCATTCTGTTTTCTGAAAACTGTTTCTTTTAAAATGCAGGTAAAGAATTCCAATTCAAATCAGCTTGCACAAAATCTAGCTCTTTAGATATGATCGCACACTTTCGGATCTTGGAAATATCAATCCTTACACAGCCTGACGCCGTGACGTCAGGCAATAACGTCAGTCATCATTTGACTTAATGATAGATTGTATTAGTGAAGAAAGAACATTCTGTTTACAAATAATTTGTTTTTGCTTATAATTTATCTTGCATGTTAAAATTTTGCTTTTTAAATTGTATCAAATTATAAATGCTTATATTTTTTATTAAAACTTTGTTTTTTTCTTTATTTAGAATAATTTGAATTTTATGTTTGACAACGAAATTGAATTTATTCTTTTAAAATCTTGCATTGATACTTTCATGACTTTATAATGCATATTTCGATTCTTTCAATTCTATTTCTTTTTTCTTCAATATTTGCTTTTTCATATTTTGTGGGGTTTTTTAAATAGTAAAAACGACCTCTTTAACTTTTTAACAAGGAATTAACATCTTTCTTTATTCTAAAAAAAAAAAAGAATCAGGACACATCCCTACGGTTAGGGTCGGCAATTTTTGTAGGTGGCAGATTCTTTTGCATTCAGTTTAAAGAAATTCTAGATTATACGCTCTTTTAAATAGATAGTAGATATTTCTTGTCGGTTCGTTGATTACTAGGTAACCATCTTTGTAGGGGTTTTCTTTACACACTAGTATGCTGCATGAATATGGAATTTTTACTGCTGGAAAGTTTTTTCTCAGTTTATTTTCTGAGGTAATATTTTGCAATAGTTTACTTTACGTATTATCCTTAAACATTCCTCATTTTAAACAAATTCCTTTTAATGATTACCGCACCTATGGGTATATTCGATTAAGCGACACGGGTTACACGAGTCACTAGAGTTGTAAATAAAACACCTATCCTCGACACGGGTGATCAACCCGTGTTACGCGAGTATAGAAGAAGTATAGTAGAAATTTACAACGTCAATGAAAAAAGTCTGCATTATAATTTTGACATCCCTCATTTTTTTTTTAGTTTTTAGGTTAACCTCTTAAAATTACTGTTGTGTTATCATTGACAGTTTTTAATTTAAAGAAAACAAGTTCATCCAACTTTTTTTTTAATCTGCCTATAATTGTTGCCCGAACCCCTGGGACCTGTTTTACAAAAGAACTTACGACTAAAACCAAAAACTTATGTTGATTATAAATTTTTGAAAATTAACTGTTTTGGAAATTGTTACCATAGAAACATTCTAAATTCTTTTCAAGAAGAATAAAATCGCAGAATTAAATTTTGGTCTTAGGTGTAAGTTCTTTTGTAAAACGGGCCCCTTGATTACAAAAATGTCAAATAGATGCATATTGATTCACTAATAAAAATACAAATACAAATGAGGCACTGATAAATTTATATTTTATTAATGTATTGGTTTTAAACCAATCGGCGTGAGAATTTGATTAGTCTATTGTTCAGTTTGATTTC